GATGAGTAATGGTATGGGGAGCTTCTAGTACATCAGAAAAGCTCCAAATTGCTTTAATTACTACAAGAATGAATAGTGAAGAATATCAAAGAGTTTTTGAAACATTAAAGAATATAATACAATAACATTCAAATTTCAACATAAATGAATTCCTTTTTTTATTATTAACAATAACTCTTATTGAACTCGCCTTTAATTACTGAAGTTAACATGGAGGTTACAAATGAAAATAAGTTTATAATGTTAAGAAATAAATTTTTGTTTCATAACCCTGGTCGCTTTGATAAAGTAAATTGGACACACCATGTATAAAAAATGGTATTTATTAAAAGTTCATTTCCCTGTTAAACGAAAGAATATTTTGTACAATACTGAAGTGGACAAATAAATAACTAACATTTGATTTTTTCAAATAATACGTCATTCAAACTAGGCTTAACGTATCGTCTCATCTACGACTCTGCCAAACATTTTCTACAGTCGTTTCTTTTTTCGAGCATGTATTATCACGAAATTTAATTACACACTCTTTTCCGTTACATTGTTATATTTCAGCACATACAGCATTGATATAGTAATCAATTTGCTGAGGGTAAACGAACAGTATCGAACGACCTAACAAATTCACCCCTGCCCTTCGATTTATTCCGTTTCTGTAAGTTCGCAGCTCGCAAAAAGGGCGGTATAGCCAACGTAATTTATAATTCAATGACTTCATAATTTTGCGTTAAACACTAAAAGCACTTCGACCGCATAATAGTTTCATAATTGAAGCCGGACCGCGCAGGAATTTTTAATCGAGTTTCGTGATTCGCTCTTGTAATTCGGACCTCCTTGTTAACCCTTCTGTCAATAACCAAAATGCTCACGTTTCATCCGTAATAAGAGCACCCCGAACGTCCTATCTAGATTTTATTGAAACAATTTCCTGGACTGTAATGACGCACCATAAATTGTTTCTAAAAATATTTGCGACTATAATACGATCGGGCGATGAAGTCGATCCTCAGTGTGATTCGAACATATACAGTGGCTGGGTAGATAAGGAAATAAATAGTGCTAATATTTTATTCATTGTATTTTTCGTATACTAAACTCATATGAAATATATTTTGAAGTATGTTATACCATAATATCGCAATAATTTTATTTACAATACTATTAGCTACAAATATTTTTAACATTTTCTCAGATTAGGTCGCCATGACAGCGAACAACTACTTAAGACCAAATCAGACTAATACTATAAATACAGGTAAAATTAATGAAACTTGTTAATTGCGGAAAAATAAAACTTATCAAATAGTTAGTAACGCGTTGCACTCCCTTTTTGTCGCATCACTTCTTCACAACGTCTTGCCATAGACTCAATTAAACGGCGACAACGCTCGACTGGAATATTATTCCACCCTTCTTGAATAACAGCAATGCAATTCATTTAAATGTTTGGGCTTTTTATATTTTACATGTTTCTCCACATCAATCCATAGCATCTGAATAGGATTGAGGTCTGGAGATTGAGAGGGCCATGGTAAAATGTTTACATTTTGCTGACATAAAAATTGTTTAACCCTACGGGCTGCGTGTTTCGGGTCATTGTCAGCTTGCAAAATCCAGTTATCTGGCATTTGATATCTTGTAAATAAGAGCAATACCTCATTTAATATATCAATGTATTTGTATTGATCCATTATTCCTTCAATTCTATGATTTGGGCCAACACCTTGTAACGTAAACGCTCCCCAAACGTTCACTGAACCTCCTCCACCTTCCACGGTTGATTTTATGCATTTTGGTGAAAATTCCTCATTGACACGACGTCGAACATACAATTTGCCATCTGACCCCATTCTATTAAACTTGGACTCATCGGTAAAAACAACTTTTGACCAGTCTGCTATTGTCCAGTTGCGATGATTCTTAGCGAACTGTAAACGAAGCTTTCGGTTTCGTTTGGAAATGAGTGGCTTCTTGCGAGCGATGCGACCCATAAAATTAAATTCGTTTAATCTTCTTCGCACTGTTCGAACACTAATTTTCCTGATAATTTCGAAACCAGATTCATTGAGAACTTGTTCGGCTGTTTTGTAACGATCCGCTTCAGAGATGCGGTGAAGAATGCGATCTTCTCGTGTTGTTGTATTACGAGGCCTTCTTTTACGCGACACGTTACAAACTGATCCTGTCTTAGATATGAATTGCATTGCCTGTATACACGCCGTTTTTGAAATATTTAATTTTGTAGCAATTGCTGAAAATGAGTATCCCTCATCTCTCAATAATTTAATTTGAATTCTTAGTTCAGGAGTAATGTTCTTCCCTCGACTCATGATTGTTGACTGATTAGCAATTGTTTGCGATCTTGAATGCAGTGATCCATCGCAACCATTTCAACAGTGATGGTAACTAAGGATCTGATGCAACTATGTAATGTGAAAATAAGCAAAAAATGAAAAACACGAATCTGTCTTAAGTAGTTGTCCGCTGTTATAACGACCTAATCTGAGAAAATATTAAAAATATTTGCAGTTTATTGTGTTGTAAATAAAATTATTGCGGTATTATGGTTTAATATACTTCAAAATATATTTCATATGAGTTTAGTATACGAAAAATACAATGAATAAATATTAGCACTGTTTATTTCTTTAACTAACCAGGGGTCTTAAGTAGCTGGCCATCACTATACGTGCCACTCTTAACATACAATTATTATATTATAAAGGAAATAAAATTATTATATTATATTATTTATATTCCAATTATTATTTTGCACAATTGCCCGGAAATGGTTAATCAGACAAATTTAAATGGTGTAACATATATTACATTTTGTATTTCTTCAATGTGTTTTTGATTATAAATACATACCACAGTTGCAGATCTTTTTATTTAACATTTCCATTCGCTAAATAAAATAATGTACATAGAACAAATATACTAAGTATATATAAAAAAGTGAAATTCAACAAATAAAGTTGCTTCACCACCTACCCCAATTTCTGTCCTTTTCTTCCTTCTATTTAATGATTTTATTCGCTAAATAAAAGAAAATAACATATATAGAGGAAGTATAAAACGGGAATAGTTTCCTTATTTTTACGAATTTTTATAAAGTCTTACATGAAACATAGTTTTTTGAAAGCTCCAATTATAATAAAATGCACGAAAAGTTGATTGTTTTATAGTATAAGATTGCAACATCCCCTTGACCTTATTGAAAAATGCGATGTGGGGAAAATTCACAAGTTTACAATTCACAAAGGAAATAATTATTTCGCCTTTTCAAAACCTACATTTAAAACCGTAAATGCATATAATTCCAGAGTCTGCTATTACATTAATTTAATATTCAAACATAGCGAAATTATTTCTTTTTAATTACGGTATTACAAGCATATTTGATTATTTTATATTCTACAGAAACACAGAATTTGTAAATTTGATTCGGAATTCATTAATTTCAAAAGATATACGAATGTGCCCCAAAATTAGCTCGTTTAAAACCTCATCACTGTACTTGGGCACAATTCATACATACGTACAGACGCTGCAGGAGGCCTCCGGAGGTTACAAAAACAGAAAGTAATTTCAGTAAATTAAATATACTATTGGAAAAGTTTGAGAATGGCAGAATTACTTAAAATTTAATTGAAAAACATTCATAACGAATCTTTTCATTTTTTAAATAATTTGTTATCATTGTCAAATATTGTTTAGAATAACATTATTGCATTCTTTTTGCTTTTCTTACTGACAATGTAACAATGTTGGGACTTTTAAGAAAGTGCATCGCTAAAATTTTTCTCTTTTCGTGCCCACTTAGATAAATTCCACATAGCATTCTTAACCAAATTAAAGCTGTCACGTTTCTAACACACTAGACAAAACAACACTGATGAAATTTCGGTAGAAAACGAATATTCAAACTGAACACTATCAATTTTCTGGAATTCTTCAATTTATTTTTTTCAACATAAATGTAATTTAACTATCTTTAGCGAGAACTTAGATACCCAAACGCGATCTCAAATATGGCGTACTCCATTTCTCCAAATATTAACAAAAATATATAAGTCGAAATAATATTTTCATAAGAAATTATTCGTGGGCTATTAACAGTAATATTCCTCTTAATTCTTTGTCTTGTAACATGTTTTATAATATTTAATATTTTCAACTGATCAACAATGTAACTAATAACTCAGATAAACCTTATTTAAAAAAAAAAGAATCATCAACGAAAACTGGTGAGTTTCTTACAGGAATTATTTATCTTTTATAAGATATAAGTATTTATCGTCTAGAAATCCTTTTTATTCTATTCTTTTTTTTAACTTTCCTGTATCCAGACAACAGCAATCCAATCGCACGTTTGTATATTCGATGACATTCTCCAGATCGATTTAATTTAAACATCGATTAAAGCCAACATAATTTTATTAATACAGAGTGAAGTAAAATTTTCTGATTTATAACTAGACTGCGGATTTTTATGCAAATTCATATATTTATTAATAAAATTAATAAAATAAGAGCTTCGTAGAGGGTTCTTTCAACCCCTAAATACAATAATTCTTATCTTACTTGAGTTTTTGTTATATTTTTGCATATTAAATGCATTCTATAGTTTTTTGACAATCTAAATTTCCCATAATTGCATAAATATCAATCTACTTATAACATATAAAAATTGAAAATTTTAGGATGATTTTATAATTGCCTCGCGCAGTGTACATTTACGCCAATTTCCGTAAAGATCGAATCGGTTGATTTTGAGAAATCCTAATGTCCACGCATTGGCTCGTTTGGTCTGGCAGTATGGCGGATCTTCGAGGTGGGCAGCGTCAGGAAACACGTATTTAGGCTGATCCAAGCTATATTTAAATCAGTCCGTGGCGGGGCCACCGAACGCGAAACTTTGTGAGACGCTCGCATCGATTTCGACGCTCTATCCCCGGCATCCCGACATTCGAGAAGGTTCTCGGAGTTCAAGTTGAAGCGCGTTCCATTTTCCGGGTTTTCTTTCGATCGAGTGCCAGCCAGCCGGAAGTAGTGGTATGAGTGGCGTGCGCGATCGGTGTTCCACGAATCGTTATCGATAAGGTGAGCCCTCAATTTTAGAGACGAAAAAATATCTGTCATTTTCATACCTGTATAATCGACGGAACAGGAGAATTTCTATCGAACAATAATGAGAATTAGAAACACTTTTTTCTCGCCCATTTCTTTGTTTTCCAGTGACGCGTGACTCGTACATATCATAAAGTTCTCAATTGTTTCGTGAAGCTTCCATTCGTTCGGTTTAGAGTAACGTGCATGATGGTCATGCGAAAATAAAATTTCATTCCATGGTTACGTTTCATTTTGCATTCTTTATAATGTAAAAATCTGTATCGGTATCATCGGTGGAATTTTCCAGGAAAAGAGAACAGCAATTTGGAAATCAAAAATTGAAACGTGGAAAATGCGGGTTACGTTGCCACGCGACGGAAATAATTTTATGATGGAGTGAAATTCCGTTTAGCTCTTTGCGGCGCAGGATGTCGAATAATAAAATAGAATTTTATTGCGTTTTAAATTAAACAAAATTGGTATATTTTTATTAATAATAGTATCGCAGAATGTAAAAACATACAAAAATAGTAATAGTTTAGTTAAATTTGTTGTTATAGGGTGGGACTCAAATGGTCCCACTGTGTCACTGTGAAGCATAACTACAGCACCACTATAATTTTCAAGAGTTTTGTAGTTGTAACTAATGATTTCTAAATGTTAATGATACCACGTGAAAAGGACTAGAAAAAAATTATAATCAATGGAAAAAATAGAAAAATAACATTTATTTAACATGAAGTATAATAATAAATGAAATATTGCAATGGTGCATAACTATAGCACCAATGTATTTGGAACGTAATAATAAGATTAAATGGCTATAAAGTGTTAAATTTCTAATTCAGTTTATTAAAGTGAGCACTTTCAATAATGAGTGGGACCTCCTTTTTTTATGTATTAATTCAAAAATACGATTGTTCGTACTTGTAATGAGTTTTTTCAAAGTTTCTTCGCTAATTTGATTCCACGCTTCAATAACTGCTGTTTTTAGCTCCGAAATGTTCGAAAATTGTTGATTATTTCCATAAATATGCCGTACCATGATACCCCATAGGTTTTCAATTGGATTTTGGTCTGGGGAGCATGCAGGCCATTTCAATACATTTACATCAAACGTTTCAAACTGTGGTTTCTCGGATATTATGGATTGGAGCATTATCTTGTTGATAAGTCCATGAAATGTGATTGTTTGCACGAATAAAAGGCAATAAATGATTTTCGAGTATTCCAATATACTCCGCACTATTCATTCGTGTAGTTGGAAAAGCTAATCAGAGCTTGCCACAGGAGCAGAATGCACCCCACACGATAAGTGTCCCTCCACCGAAATAACGTTTCGTAAAGTATTTTTGTTCTTTACGAAGGTCCCTCCAATATGAATTAAATCCATCTGGACCGTCCAAATTGAATTTTTTTTCGTCAGAGAAAATAACCTAAGTTAAATAAGGAATATTGAATATGAAGCTAAAATCTCGATTTACGAATGTCTAAACTTAACTTACATTATTCCAATTTCTGCTCATGTTTTTTCGCGCGTATTCAAGCCTGGCTATTTTCTGACGTTTCAGAAGTATAGGTGCAGACATCATTTTTTGTCTTATAATGTTTGAATTATGTTTAAGGACACGTTGGACAGTCCAACGAGAAACGCCGAGATCACATTCCTTCGCAATTTGTTTACAGCTTTTTAACGTATTGCTCGCAACTTTAGCAATTTGCCTTTCAGTACGAGGGGATAACTTCTTCTTAGGTCCCCCTTTCTTATTTCTCCCATACTTAGTGGGATCGCGTAAAAAATACAGTACAACTTTATGAGATCGGCCGAGTTCACGTGCGATTTCACGTATCCCCATTTTTTGCTCTCTGTGGGCTGAAATTGCACCTTGCTCTTGTTCATTAAGGTAGCTGCCACGTGGCATTGTATCAATTAACTAAGAATTCCCGAGTTTACTAAAACAATTCCAACAGAAACCCTTGAAGTGCGTTAAAAATGAACCGGTTCTATTGTTTTGCACCGATCGTCAAACGTTTATCGATTAAATCTTGACATATAAGTAGACAACTTCAATGAATTTCACCTAAAATCCATTATTTACAATGCTTTTTCATACCATATAACTGGTTGTTTCAAATTATTTTCTTACAGGTCGGAAACGTTAAAAATTTTAGTGGTGCTATAGTTATGCTCCGCAGTGTAGGTTCATGAATGGTACTTATTAACACATTGACTGCCACGTCATCCACATATGGGTGACACTATCTTTCACCAAGGAGTTAAAAAAATTAATTCTCAAGATTAGATGTAAAAGAAAATAAAGCTAGGTAGGGCCCTTGAATTTTAACGAGTCTGTGAGAATAAATTTCATGACAAATTCTTGGTATGCTAGTTTCCAATTGTCTAACAACAAAATTTAATTTTCCTTTTAATTTGAGGGGTTTGGTCTGGCACATCATTTTCCATAAGCACAGATGCACTTTGCACACAGTACAAGACCATAGTGTTCGAACTTCCTTTTTTTTTGTACCACAAAGCGCACATCGTCTGTGAGACAAAAGTTCTGGTAGATGTTTTGAATCTTGTCTTCTTATTTCTAATGAAACGTCACGTTTGTGTCTGCTTATTGTTAGATTTAGTTGGTACGTTATTATCTATTAATGTTTAACTAATAAATCCTTCGTCACATTGACCTTTAAATGCTTTTAATGTGACTTTTTTACCCAATTGTTTATATAAAATATATGCATCAACAACACACACATCAAAAAAATAAAACACTATGCAGTACCATTATTTCTTACTGCGACGATCAAGACTATAACTAGACATTAATCGATCAAATTTATCCACTCCATTCATATTATCATTATAATCTGCGATCAAGGAAGGACAAGTAATCGATTTTTTAATCCCCATTTGATTTTTTCTGTGATGGAATGTTGATTTGGACTGTGAAAATTTCAAAGTATGAGGACGGCCATATTGTCGCCATTATTTTCCTCGATTTTTCATATTTATACTGAAAGATAACAAATATTTTCTCATTTTATTAGCAACACCACAAGCATTGATTTGTTTAAATTTCAAGTTTTCTGATAAATTTACACTTGTAAAATAATTGTCAAAATAAATTGTATGTTCTTTTCCAACTAAATCTGAAGTGAGAGTATTCACAACTTTCTCACCAAGATTTTTTTGATACATCAAATCTGTAGCAATAACCCGATTTATCTGCTAGAACCCATAATTTGTATCCCCTTTTTACTGGTTTTTTCGGAAGATATTGCTTCATTGAACTACGGCCTTTAAATTTTATCATCGATTCATCGATCGCTAAACTGAGACCAGAACGAAACTTGTTCTTGATATTTTCTTGTATCTTGTCCAAGAATGGACGAATTTTATATAGTTTATCATAGTTGGAAATTTCTCTTCCTGGAATTAAGGTATTGTCATTGAATATGGCGGGGAAGCCACCCAAAACGATTTACAGTCATTATTTGACAGATGTATTCATTATGTAAATACAGTATAGTGCTCCAAGCATCTCTATAAGCTACTGGGAGTTTATTGATTCCCATTAGTTGGCTTGTATCTATTGCCTTGCTGTACTGCGTATAAATTCGTTAGAAAAACGATGGAATGAATAATGTCTTCAGTAAAAAATTTACTAAAATATACAGATGGATATGGTAGATCTGTATATAGCGAGTTGGGCCAAAATCTGAAGAAAATACTCCCACTGGAATTGTATGTCCGTTAGGTGTCCATTTTATAGTCCTTTCAGCCATATTCTTTTTACGCTGCTATGGTGTATGCGTTATTTCTTCTACAGGAATAATTTAGAGTCATCAGAAGCTTCAGAATCAATGAGAAATTCTTGATCTGAAGCTAATATTTCCTCAAATCGTGTGTCGTCTTCATTTTCGTCACGAAGCAGTTTGAGGTTAGAAATTTTGGTACTTGATGGATGTTTTCTGTTCATTTTGAAACTGAAGGGTCAAAAATTACCTATATTCAAATCACAATTATAGTTTTAAGAATATTAAAACATAAACAATAAATAAAAATATGTTTTTTTGTATTACTCCCCAAGTTGCATGGTGGGACAAATGAAATCCCTCCATACTTTCATCATTTACAAACAAATTTAAGCTTTAGTTTTTATTACAAAACTTTTCACTTGCTTATATAGGAATAATTTTTATAAAAATTAACTTGCTTCTACGATTTTTCACATAAACCGAGGAAAAAAGATTGTCATAATAAACCTTCCACTTGCAACAATTGATGAACCTGTATTGGCATGTTAAGGGGTCTTTCTACTTTGTGGGATTTAAAAAATCGAATTTTTTTTGCCTTTTCTTTTAGTATGTAGTCTCGAAAGTATATCTACCAAATATTAAATTGAAATTCCAAAAATTAACAAAGTTATAGTCTGCTGTAATGTATCACGTATGATGCAATGTGTCATGTTTATTCACACATGCATTATCAGTAAAATGTATAAATTTTGCATACATAGTACATACATTTTGATAACGCTAAGTACCAGTGTTCTATTTATAGAACATCTACATAAAATTCGTAACCAATACGAGTTTTTGCTAAAAATACATAAACAAAGTTTACAACAATCTTCAATAATCATTCCTAAGTAGGAATAACAAATTACAAAATTTAAAAAATGATGATATGGAGTTTTTATGATTGAGTATATAATTCGAGACAAAGTAAGAAAATTTATGCAATGTTTACAATTCTTTTATTAAAAAAATATTGGTAATATAATATAACAATAATTATAATGTAGTTTAATACACCCTAAAATATATGTGGTAAATTTTTCATTTAATTTGAACCAATTTTAAGGGTTGAAAAAAATAAAATACTCAGTGTCCTATAAATGGGACACTGGCTTATAATGGGTTAAGTTGCCTTTCTACTTCGTGTGATTAAAACAATTGAACTTTTTTTTGCATTTTCTTTT